TATATATATATATATGTGTGTATATGTATATGTATAATTATTTATATTACATCGATTAAATTAATTAAAAAATAGGATTTGATTAAAAGGAAGAAATGTTGAGAGGTGTAAAAGGGAGGTGGAAAGGAAAGTTAGGTTAGGAAAATTAAAATAGGCAAATGGATAATATTTGCACTTTTTTTAAAAAGTTTCTAATAAAAGAAGAGATTCTTCGCATATTTCCCTATATATATGTATATGTAAATATGCACTTTATATATATATGTATATATATATATATATATAAAATCGCAATAAATAAATAATTCATTCGTTAATTAATTAATTTAAATAATAAATTTAAAGTAATGATAGTTGATTGATAAGAAGATAAAGAGAGTTAGAGAGAGAAAGATAGAGATCTAAGCTTATTACACTTCCTGTTTCATTTGTTTCAACCCTTTTTACCAATTCGCATTTTTATAAAGGGTGAGAAATGTAACTTTCATCCCCTTTTTTTTGTTATTTTACTTCCTTAAAAATTCCTACGTTTGTTGCCTTTTTCCTTTCTCTAATTGTTTTTACAATTATTATTATAATAATAATAATGATAATAATAAAAATTATAATAAAAATGTAATTAATAATAATAATAATAATGATAATAATAATAATAGTAACTATTTTTAAATATTACACACATTATTAAAACTTTCCTCGTTGTTTTTTGCATTTTTCTTTTGTTCTTTCTTTTTATGTGTTTTGAACAGTGCGCATATTATCTTTCTAATAATAATAATAATAATAATAATGATAATTAATAATAATAGTAATAATAATAATAATAATAATAATTACTAAAATTGTATAACACCTATGACAGTCAAATATCTCAAAAATTGTAGAAATCACATTTTTGTTCTCCTTTTCTTTTTCTACTACAAATATCCCATGTATCATCATCATCATCATCACCATCATCATTATAATCATCATAATCATCATTATCATCACCATCATTATTAAATGTGCCACCTACTGCACATATTGTTTTTTATATGCATCAGCACAATAATGCAAATAAAATCCTTCAAAGGTTAGTCTGATGTTTTCATTTTTTTTTCTGGATGATCACCAAAAAAAAAAAAAAAACAAAATAAAAAAACAAAAAACAACCACCCCAAATGATGATTGCGATGATTTATAATTATTATTATTATTCTTTCTTCTTCTGTTCTATCGACGATGACGAAGACGACGTTGTGGAGGAGGGTCAAGGACAGACAGGGGGGTTGAGGTTTTTTGGATGAGGGTATGATTTTTTTGTTTTGTTTTAAAGGTTATGTTAGGGGATGAGTTGGGGGATAAAAAGAAAGTATCATATCACCGTATATAAATTCGTACGACGATTATTATACTGTGTGTGTGCCTCCCACTCCTCCTCCTCCTCTTCCTCCTGATTTCTCGTCAAAGATTCAATTAATTAATTAATAATAATAATAATAATAATAATAATTAATAATAATTAATAATAATATTCTACCCACACGTTATCTTTTCACTTACTTCTTTCTCTTTGATAACTATAAATATTACATAATATCTATATACAATTTTATTCTTATGTGTGTGTGTTAATTGGTTTTGTGTTTTTTTTTCTCTTTGTTTTTATTTTTGTTTTTCATCCCTTATATTTGTTTTTTTTTTCATTCTTGATGTTCTCTTGTTTTATATTATTATTATTAAGTTGTTTTGTGTTTTTTTTTTCTTTCTATTCCTTCTCTCCGTTATATTATATATTTAAATATAATAAACACGCCCCATTATTAATCTCCATTAGCAAAATATCTTCAGCACCGATTACCGGAATTATTGATGGATGACACGATATATGTATGATGTGTAAATAAGTAAATATGTAAGTAAATAAGTATGTAAGTAATAATTAATAAGAGAGAAAAAGTATATATATATAGAAGATAGTGTTTTTTGTTGTTGTTGATATAACCACGAATTGTTCTCAAAAATTGTTATTGGTGTTGGGGATTGATGTTGATGTTGTTGGCATCGGTGCTGCGTTCACTTGCAGCAGAAGCTGAGGACGTAGGGAGGATGTATCATCGGGATTGCGAGGCGTCCTCTTTTTTGTGTATATCTGCGTGCATTAAGGTAGGCTCGAGTTGTCTAGCTTGTACACCTGGTCCAGGACCTGCTCTATGGTGCATATGTAAATTGCTTAATGGTCCAGGACTAGGATCTTTGCCTCTTAATGAATTAACCGGGCCCGGTGGATAACCGGCGTAAAGTTTAGCACGTTCTTCTTCTTCAGCTCTGAAGGCAGCGGCAGCCATTAGAGGATTATACCGTAATTGCTGTAGAGGATCGTATCTGTAATCCCTAAAGGGATCAGCTGGCCAAGGAGCACCTGGTTGACCTGGTGGCGCAGACGGTGGTGGGAAATGTTGCATCGGATGTGCACCTAAGCCTGGAAGCATACTTCGTGGCATTGAATGCGGTCCCGGCATACTGTGCGGATGCCTCGTTAAATATGTGTGAGGATGCGGATGATGGTATCTTGGATCAGGCAGTGTATTTGGTCCAGGACCAGTACCTGACGTACCACCTGGACCAGGACCTGATGGCCTTGGGAGCATCACTACTTCGTCATCCTTGCTACGTGGTTCTTCTTTAACTCTTACTTCACCAGCGTCCAACGGTGCCGAACCGTTTCTCAAAGGTGAACGTTCTCTACTAACTAATACGTGTTGACGATTTTGATGTAACAACCTTTCTCTTTCCATCTCACGCCTTTCCATTTCACGACGCTCCTTCTCTCGTCTTTCACGTTCTCTTTCAGCAGCTTCCTGTTGCTTTCTTTTCTCTTCCTTTTCACGTTCCCGTCTTTCTCTCTCCCGTTGTTGTTCCTCCCTTTCGCGTTCTCTCTCACGACGTACCCGTTCACGTTCGCGTTCACGTTCACGTTCTCTTTCACGTTCGCGTTCACGTTCACGTTCACGTTCACGTTCCTCCAGTTCGGCTCTTCTGTCGATCGTTGGCGGCTCCGGTTTCAAACCCCATGACACTGTGGTTGGTGGAAAGCCAGTGGATGCACGTTGCAATCTGAAAAACAAAATCAATTAGAATCTTTTCCTTGTTAACACGTTCATATAAAAACTTACCCTCTCCATGGATCGTGAACAGAACTCAAACCACTCAAAGGTGGCATTTCTCTAGCTGGAGGAAAACTCGAGAGACCTGGAAAGTTTGGATTTGGTGTACCAAACGTTGAAGGATATCTTCCAAATGGTGACATTCCAGATCCTATTAAGTAAACACTCAAATTATAACAAATAATTTATCAAACAACATTATTAGAGGTTATATAAAATGGCACGTACCTAAATGAGAAGTTGGCGTAGATAGGAAACCAACGGGATGAGGTGGAGGTGGTGCAGGATGCGCAGGTGGCATATTAGTTGGGAATGGAGGTGCCATAGGAGGAGCAGACATTCCCAAACCACTTGCGGGTCCTCCTGGATAAAGATGGCTTGGGGGTCTTAACAATTCTGTTTTGGTGTTAACACTTCCAGCTTTAGATTCTGCTTGTTGCTTTTGTTGATAATGATAAATTTCCCATGCGATGCGTACATGCATTGCATTCCATTTTCCGCTCTTCTACAAGAATTAATTCAATATTTATACGTAAGCAAAATTGTTCAAACAAATAATGTTGGTAATACGATATATAAATATATGTATATATGTTTATACATCGTTTAATACAAATCTTTGTTTCAGATACTTTTTTTAGCACATGCCTTTTTTACCTTTGGTGCAAATGATGTTAAATGATTGGGAGGTACAAAAGGTGTTGACGGAGGACCAATCCCAGGATGAAGTATTCCCGTGTTGAATCCGGTATATCCAGACAAGTTTAAATTACCTCGAAAAAATGGGGAATCCACACCGCCAAGTTTTGGTATATCTTTGAACTGTATTCAACAAAAATTACAAACGTTTACAAATGACATAAACTTGTGTATGTGTATGTGTGTATATGAGAATCTCATTCTTTATCTTTTCTACATGTGTATATGTGTGTGTATGTGTATATGCAAAATACAAAACTAAACAATTCGTTTCATATCAATGCATTGAAAAATATTAAATTGCTGTACAAAATAATAATAATAATAATAACAATAAATTTACATACATCGAAACTTACGATTGGGGGAGGAAACAACGTAGTAGCCGCTGCTGGTGGTAACAATGGCGTCGTGTGTTGATGTACGTGAGTATGTTGATGTTGATGATGATGCATTTCTGTTCTAAGATATGGCGGTGGACCCAAATTTCCAACCCCTACATTGACATTCCTATCTTGTGACGCCAAAAATCTATTGTCAAGTTCTCTCCTTAACAGGTCCGCTTGACCTGCAACATGAGTCACCCCTTCTTTTGGTTAATTTCCTACTTTTTAAGATAAGATTTTAAAGATAAGATTAAAAAAATCAATTTATAAACTTACTTGTTTGAAAAAGTGACTCTGCCGAGAATGGGTTGGGGTTGGTCGTAGGTGGAGGAAGTGAAGGCAGTGAAGTATGCGGACTGGAACTAGAAACGGGTGGTGGTAAAGGAGCTGCGAACATGGGTGGTGGAAATGTATGAATCCCAAGTGGTGGTACGGGTGGTGGAGTTGGCCTTGGTACAGACGTTGCTGTTGCTGGAGAGAGCTGTGAGGTTGTGTTGCTACTACAATTAATACATAACAATAATATTAATAATATTATCATCACATTGTATCTTAAGAATTAACATTCGGTAAACTTACAAAGTATTCGTATACATTTTGTAATATAAAGTTTCTAATATTTCTAGTTTGAGGATTGTAAAGGTACGAATATCTTTTGTCAGTGTTACCGTAACGTTATAAAATTTGTGTCTTCTCACCCAATCCATCCTTGTGGTTTGGTGTACGCAGTTAGACTAGAATTTGCTGGAGATGACGTGTTTGGCACACTTACGGGAGTGATGCTGCCCCTACTTAGGCTACTCACATTGCTACTGTAACAAAAACATGATTATTATTATATTATACTTTCTTAAGAAGTTAACAAATCCAACTTGACTATTTCATTATATTAACGTAATAAATGATTAAACTAATATGTTATCATCATACCTATAACTGTCTCTTTCTCGACTAGGACTATGTCCACGAGGAGAATTATTATTATTATTTCTTCCAGACAGACTACAGGCAACCATATCTCGGTGAGCTATGGTATTCGCAGTGGTAACTGTATTAGTTATCGTAGACACGCATGTTGTAGTTGCAGCACTCAAAGGAGTATTATTATGACTCGTGATGTTATTTCCTATAGTCTGTTTACTTATGTTAGTACAAGGGGAAGCTCTACTTCCTCTCTGAAAAAAAGAAAGGAGAAAAAAACAAAATACWAATGTATCAATCAATCATATATATCCAGATAAAAAATGATTTTTTTCATGTCCAATTTATATTATAGATTAACTGTTCTAATCTTAAGTAAAATCATACTATAACAAACACACAGATTAAGATACAATTATCTTTAAATGTATAATCCACTTACCACGTCAGTACGTGAAGAAGCAGAGTGGGAAGGAGATGGTACCGCAGGTGGGAGATACGGACTATGATTTAGAGCTGTATACGGTGTATAAAGCGGTGGATAAGATGGTTGAGTTTGAGGATAGGCGGCCATGGGTATTGGTGGTGGATAGCTTGTAGTAGCGGCACCGTTTGAAGGTGCCGCCGGAGCTACACCTAAATTAGCTACCGCCGGACTAGTAGTATGGCTCGATGAAACGAGGGGCACATTAGGTGGATGCAATGCAGGTATCGTAGTATGAGGTTGTTGGGATAAGGAAGGTGGTGGCAGAGCAGGTGAGGCTGGTCGTTGCTGCGGAGCTATTGCACGAGGATTAGCTGCCAGTGGACTAGTCATCTGTAAAATGATTATTAATTAAATATATAGTTATATAATCAAAATTAATATATATTATTATTATTATTATTAATGTATTTACCGGTGGTTGGGATATGTGTGGGGGTAATGTTGGGCTAGGAGGACTCGGTGCGGTTGGAACTGGTGCAGATGCTGGCACTGGTGGTGGTATAGGTGCCGGTGCATCCGTTGCAGGATTGGAAATTTGTCCACCCGTGTCCGGAGGAGATCCTCCTGCTCCGTTCGTTGGAGGCAACACGTGCGGTGAAGAAGATGGCAGCTCGTCTAATAAATAATATTTATTAATATTATATAATTATGATTAATTATATTTGTTTATACTTACATTTACGTGCAAGGGGTGGTGGGGTAGAAGATTCAAAGAGTATCGACTCTGCATCCGAGCCCTTTTATAAAACAAACATTTGTTAGATATTGTTTAACTAATGAAATTTGAAACAATATGAATACTTTAATTAAACTTTAAATACCTTATCGTCTTCTCCTTCACTATCACACTATAAACATAAAAAGAAACGATACATTTTATTAATAATAAGTTGATTGATGAAATATTATATAATGATAATGAAAAATTAAAACTACTTACGATATAACCTTTACCCGAACTGCAATGACTGCTAGCCTGTAAATTAAATGCATATATTTGTAAATATGTGTTTGTATGCATTTGTATGCATTAAATAAAACCAAGAAACTTACATCGCTGAGATGGTCCCTGGAACTGTCTGCGTCCTGGCAATCCCTAGGTATACCAGGGCCATGCAATTGTTCAGACGCTCTACCACTATCGTCGCTTGTACCTGCATCTAGACCCTGCAAATAATAATCATATATTACATCTAACACAAACAAAACATAATATACTTTAACATGTTCACTACTGCACTGTAGTAAGAAAAATTGATTTATTGCTTTGATTACCATTACAAATGTGTTACACTAAGTTCTTAATGGAAATCAATAGTGAATGTGTTAAATCAAACTGAAGTAATTAACAATGTAATATTAAATATTGCAAGTTTACCTGGTTGAGCGTCGATGGTGTCAATATGGAATTATGTGAATAATGGTTGTGCTTGAAATGATTTTTGATATGGTGCTCGGTGTGCCTATTGTTTTGTCCGGTATCCAGCTTTGGTTTTTCGTCTACTATTGACAGCAACGTATGCAACTTCTTTACATTATGTTTACCAGCTAACTTTATTGCACTCTGAAAAGAAAAACAAATTTCATAAAATATTAAAAAGAATTGTCAAAAGATATATATATATATATATATATATATATATAGATATAGAATTATTAAAAATATTTTAGAATGAAATTCCATTGAGACAAACATACCATGTTCGACAAATCCTAAAATATGTCATTCCTCCCGAAATTGATTTTCAATGTATATTTGAAAATGTGTAAAAAATAGGGTAAATAAAATAAGGATCATTGTCCTTCCTCTTACCCCAGACTTCCTGGTCAATTTAGGCAGCCCAGAATGATTGCAATAGATAATTCGTATATTTCATCTTTCGCGCCTAATTTTTCACAGAACACGTTTTATTGGTTGGAACGCGGACGCACTTACCGACGTACGGACGAACTAACGACTGAACGAGCGAGCGAGAGAATGAACSAAACGCATGCGCGCGCATGCGTAAAATAGAGAGGGAGGGAGTAAGAGAGAGAGAGAGAAAGAGAGCAATAGAGAGAGGGAACACAGGCACGTATTATACACATAAAATACACGCACGCACACCGACGTAAAGAGAGAGCTCCAATACCCCTAACAAAAATGGATAAAGGAAAGAAAAGATATCCTTGAGAAAGAAACGTTAGCAACACATTGGTTATACGATCATTTGCATAAGAAGAATCCGGTTGTCATTGGTGCGTTGTAATTAAATAAAAATTGATAATAACAGCAGTTTATAATAGCAGCAACAGCAACAGCATCAACAGCAGCAGCAACAGAGCAACGATGTCGACGACGACCAATCAACAATAACAACGGTAAATCCCTGTGCAGTAGTTTTTTTTTTCCATGTGTCCAAGAAGAAACTGCATTAATAAAAAAAAATACTGCAAAACTTTTTCTTTTTTTCAAATATTAAAATAATATGTATATTAAACCACACACATAATACTGCGTGCAACAATAATTCGAGGTAGAAAAAAACCCGTAGTGGTTAGGAAGAAATATTCTCCTTTTCTGACCGATCGAAAAGAGAGGCCGGACGAAGCAGAAAAAAATGATTCGACAAATGTACTCTACCCACTCAAATGTACTCTCTCTCTCTCTCTTTTTTTCCTCCCTTTTTTTTTTTAAATATTTTTTTATATCTATGTTTAAAAAAATTCTTTCTATTTTTCTCTTTGTTGATTTCTAAGAGAAAGAATAAAGTAGTATTTCCTACCCCGCGCGTCGGAATGTCACTATATATACACGGTTGTTGGTGCGTTCGTGCACTGCGATCACCATGTTCGGGTATCTCCGAAGATTATCTCCTTGTCCTGGAAGCACGGCGGTGAAGGTAGTAATAGTAGTGGTAGTGGTGGTGGTGGTGGTGGTGATGTAGTGGTGGTGATTTGAGGAGAAGGAGGAGAAGAAGGGAAGAGGAGAAAGAAGTAGTGGTGGTGGTAACACAGCGGCGGCACCGTCGGCGGCCAGAGAACTTTCACGGCGTGTCTCGAGCGCACATCAGAAGACCGACAGCGTTGTGATAAGGGTAGGAGAATAGGAATAGAGTGGGGGGTAACCGTAATAGGAGTGGGAGCTAACGCGCGGTAGGGTTGGATAGGGTAGAAGTAGTTGTTACAATGGTGGTGGGGGGAGATGGTGACGGCAAATCCCTCGCGCGACGGAGGAGAACGCCTTTTCCGACGGGTGCTTTAAATCGCGAGGTATGTCTAATGCCACGCACGCTCGTGTTCGTTCGTTCGTTCGTACATTCGTTCGTTCGCTCGCGAGTGGCGCTCTCTACTCCGAACAGTAAGCAGCAGCGCGAAGATATTATACGTTTCTACACCACAACCGTCGTGTCTTTTGCCCCCTGGAATAACACGACTGGTAGTAGTAGTAGTAGTAATAATAGAAGAAGAAAAAGAAAAACAAGAAGATGAAAGCCCAGAGTAGGAGAAAGGGAATTTTTTAACGAACGATCTACGAGCGATGACGATGATGATGATGATGTTGATGATAATGACGATGAAAAAAACTGGACGGAAACTTGCAATAACATCGAATAATAATAACGACACAACAACAACATCATTATTATTATTGTTGTTTCCTTCTTTATCATAAGAGAAGAAGATAACAACAAAGAGAAAGATAGATACGAAGATTAAGATTACTACGGACAATAATAAACAAGGCACGATAAGAGGTGTACGACACAACGCGAGACACGACACACGACAGGGTTTACGACAGGATATGATGCAGCAACGTTGTTGCTCGGGAGAGATCGACGACGACGACGACGACGACGGTGGCGGCGGCGGTGGTGGCTGCGGCGGCTGCGGCGACGGTGGAAGGAGGAAGAGGAGGAGGTGGTGGTGGGAGGATGTGGGATGACAGAGGGATTCGCAGCACCAGAGTCGTCTCGTGTGCGCGATGCAGCACGGGAGTAGTACTTATAGTGGGGAGGATAAAAAGAGGGAGGGTAACCTTCCTTCCTTCCTTCCTTGCTCGAGCTTGAAGAGGAAATCAGAGGGACAAAGAGAGAGACAGACCAAATGAGCAAGGAAGAAAGAAAGAGAAGACATTGACCGAACGAGCAACCGCGCGACCAAAGTCTCCTTCTTCGTTGTGCCAGGCCAGCTGGAAGGAAGGAACTCTTCTCCTCCTCCTCCTCCTCCTCCTCCACCTCCTCCACCTCGTCAAACCACGATTTCTCTCTCTTTTTCTTTCTATCTTTATTTGTTTTTCTATCTCGAATACGAGAGGCGCGTTCACTTCGAGTTCTACTACTCTATACCACCACTTTTATCCTCTTTCTTCGAACCTTTACACACTGTCCCTCATTTTTCCTTCTTTCTTTCTTTTCTTTCCCCTCCCTCCCCCTCCCACTACCTTCCTTTCGTTCATTCGCACGCCGCAAAATGCGTTATCTCCTTTTTCTTCCCTTCTCATTTCCCCTACTTCTCTTTTTTCTCGATACATTCTCCCCACTACTTTTCCCTCGCCCACCTCCCACTCTTCTCTTTCGTCTTCTTTTTACCCCCACTCTTTCTATCCTGTATCTCCTCTCTCGTATTACGGGCGTATTCCAAAGCAAAGAGGGGAAAAAAGTACTAGGATCTCTTCTCTCTCTTTTTCTCTTTACGCCGGTGTAAAAAAGTAGCAACGGCAGCAGCAGCAGCAGCAACAGCAGCACTGTTCCTCTCTCGCGAAAAACAGCAGCAGCAACCACACCACGCTTCTCTGCTTCTTCCACCTACCCCCTCCCCCTCACCACCTGTGCACGTGTGCCAACCGCGAAGCGAAACCCCCTAGGACGTGTTCGTTCCGCGCCGTTCGAATAAACGCGCTACGAGGAGAACGACTTTGCTGCTTTGCGAGATGCGAATTAATTGAATAAACCTCCGCGCACCGCTAACCTCCCCCTCCCTCCTCATTTCCCTTATATTCCCTTCTCTTTACTGCACCCGTCTAGGAAAAAAAGTGCTCGGGAGAGTGAGTCGTAGTTACTCGAATCTTCTTTCTCTTTCTTTCTCTTCCTTTTTTTTTATTTATTTATTTCTATCCTTTTCTTTCTTTTTTTTTTGTTGCGCTGGTTCGTACGTTCCTTCGTTCCTTCGTTCAGTCGTTGGTTATATTTCTTGTCTTTCTTTCTCTTTAACGTCGAGGAAGAAACTGGTTGGTTTACCTCGGTGTTCGTATTCTCTTATCGCAAAGAATCCTCCTTTAGGATTTAGCTTTCTTCTTGTTATTTGATAATGCAACTTTATCCGAGTATATTTTATTGACCTCTTCCCTATTCCATATTACTGTTAGAGGACTTTGCTTTTGCACATGCAATATTTGACGACGATTGATAATTTTTTTTTTGGTTTTTTTTTTGTTTTCATGCAATTTTTTTTACATAATCGGCAAAAAAACTTTCCTGTTAGATAACGCATATAATAATATGCACACGGAATTTATTTGAAATGGAAAATTTGTGCCGATCTAGGGGAAATTTTATTTCTATGTACATTAATAATATTTAATTGGTACAAATTTTCTGGATAAAACCCATACGAATTTTTATCTATACAAACACATACAAACATATGTTAGGGAAAAAGTTTTTTTTCCTGAATAATTTTTTGTTATATTTTTAAATACTTTACTTTGATCATTTTTTCTTTTTTTTTTTTTTTTAGAGAGAGAATGAGTTTTCATTTTTAATCGTTAAACAAATTTTTTCTAGCAAGCTACAAATGAATTTTTTTTTTTTTGCTACAAATGAAAAAAATTAAAAAGAAAATGGAACACCACGTATATTTTTTTGGTTTGTTATCAGAATAAGTATTGTATAAGTTACATGTTGTACAACATGTAATTAATATCAATGATTAGTTAGAGACTCTGTTTAGTATTTTCATTTTCTTGTTTTTTTTTTTTTTTTTGATAATTGGATCAATAAAAAATAATAACTGGCCTATCGACTATAAACGCAATAATTGCTACATAATTTATTCATTTAAATAACATTTATTTTTTGCAGAAAAAAAAACAACTAGCATTGCAACAGTATATTATATAAAAATTGATCAACAGTTATAAACAATACTAGAATAATTTTCTCATTGATTTTTATTTTTGCGATAAAAAATTGATGCAATATTGAACAACCTTTTTTTTTTTTTTTTATAAACGATTAAATTCTAAAAATAAAAAACTGACGAAGAAATTTAAAAATGCCGCCATTTTGCATAGAAGTAAAAAAACATGAATGTGATTGGTCGTTAATCGTTGTACTTGAAAAATTGAAAAAAAAATATAGATGTTAAAATAATCAAATGAGAATGGTAATGTAAAAAATGTTTGCAAAAAAAAAATGATTTATCGATTACTTTGTTTTTTTTCTTGTTAATAAGAAATGAAGCAAAAAAGGTGAATATTTGCAGTAGCAGAGCAGCAGCATTAGCCCCGTATGCAGCAGTTCGAAAAGGCGCAAAATTCTTCTCGATATATGAGTACGGGCGAAGGAAGGGGTCTCTCGTCCTCGTACAACACGCGGGGACGTTCCACTGGTGTTCTCTCCGTAGCTTCGGTTAGCCGGCTACTAAACTCGTTCGTAGTACATCGTTGCCACATTTCTTCCCAACTACTTCGTTTCGCGTTGACACGATCCGGACTTCTAATCATCGGGCGTACGCTCGTGTTCCCTCGTTTATTCGTTCGTTCCTTCGTTCGTTGGTTCGTTCGTTTTCGTATGTTCTCGCGTTCCGTTCCTTCGTTTGTGCGCGCGACATGTTGACGCTTGCGACAAATCGTTCCGCGTGTCTTAATATATACGCGCTGCGTTATGTCATCGAGTTATGTATATGTATGTATGTATTATGAACTTCACAAGAAAAATGTTCGTAACGCATGAACGATAACCTCCATAATTTATCGTACTAAACGTCTTTTCACGAAATTAGTATAGTGCGTTGTTAAATCAGAATATTAATTAATCAAATTCATTGGTGGGTTAGTTTTGTATAAAGGAATGTTATATCAAATGTAATTTGAATTGTAACTAATAGTTTTGTCGAGATTTATTTCAAATGTTTTGAATAAAAATTTAGTGAGCGAATAATTTCAATTTAAACGTTAATTAATTTCATTGATTCGTTTGGAAAAGTCAACTAACTACTTTAGTCAAAATTTTTTATTCCCTACAGGGTATATAAATATAAAATATAAACAATAAACAAAATTAATTAATGTGTTTATTAAAAGAAATCAAATATGTATCAAATATAATAAATATTACAGTCAATTAAAAATTGATAACCTATTAAAATATCGTTATAACGTATTAACCAATCATCGATCGGCCTCGTATGATTTTCGTCTAGCGTTTCATTGGTCAATATAAAATAATATTCAAATATTTCCTAATTTACGATTGGTTATTGCAAATAACGAATATTTCAAAAAAAAAAAAAAAAATCCCGAAAAAAAAATATTTCCAAAATTCATGCCGATTTGAAACATTAGTTCAAACAATTCACAAAATTGGCGCGAATATTTGAATAACTTTAGAATGAAATAAATAAAAAATAAAAATAAGTAGCATGCAATTTCATTGAGGAAAATAATGCACAAGTCATCCCCACTCTTCTACATTGCCCTCGAATAACCTTACCCCTTCCCCTTTCACCCTTAACTCCAAGTAATGGGAGATTTAGGGGAGGTGGAAGAACTGGACATGCATATTAGCCGCACGTGGTATATTTAACGCGGCTCGATGAATATTTTGTTAGCAACGACGAAGTACATGTCTCTATTAATACACACACATATAAATATGTGCATATATATATATATATGAAGAAATGGAGGATGGAAAATAAAATAAATGTCTCGTGCAAACGTACGAACGGTTACTGACTGGCTTTAAATTTGACAGAAATGTATCATTGTCTCTTCTTCTTTTTCTTCTTCGTACATTTGTGAGAAAAGAGAATAAAAAAAAAAAGAGAAGAGAGAACGTGGAAGAAGACAAATTCTTCGTTCTGGGTTAGAGTTTTATGTTTCAGAGGACAATAACAGGGGAAACGCGACTCTGGTACAACGACCATCTGTTTGACGAAAATTTCGGCCTCTTGCCAGTGCCAAATTGACGTTTGCGAGGATGAAACAGACATTTTGGCATAATACCAAAAATTATCCAAAAGTAAACACCTATCATGACAGCATTGTTTATATTCTCTAACTTATGAACGTCAGCGCCATTTTTTTCCTTTCTTTTTATTCTTTTCTCTTTTATTCAAATTTATTTTACACAACTTCCACTAATTACATCTTTTGAACTTTAAGAAAACTAACGAGGGAGTGTGTGTAATGGTGGACGATAAAAAATAAAGAAAACTAGAAAATATTTTGTTCTTAATTTTTCATTTCTTTTTGAAATTAAAGAGTAATATGTAAATTGCAACATGTAAATATATATATACATACTTGTGATAAATATTTAAACACATACACACACACACACACATATGTAGTTATAAAATGATTTACGCTTACTTAACGAGATGTTTAAAAAATAAAAAATAAAATGCTAACAAAGTAAACAACAAGGTAAAAACTGGCAGAAAATGAAATATATAAAAGGGAGAAAGTGAGAATTTTACTCTTGCACGTTTTACAGTTTTTAAAGGTGCAACCATATAAAGCATTTACCATGCTTGAGGACAAAAAGAAAAATAAATGGCGAGAGGGGGGTGTCTGAGGAACTGTAAGGGACTGAAGAGAAGTAAAAAGGAAAAAAAGTTAAAACGAAAAATAAGTTAGTATGTGTCCTGGTGTGGTCCGA